AAAAAAATTGAATTTAAAAACAAGCTTTAAAATTATTATTTTTTTTGGGGGGGGGTGGTTTGAGGGTAGGGACAAAATAAATTGATTTTTTCAACAAAAAAATAATTGTAATTTGAAGTATGAAGAGAGTTTTGGAAAATGTTTTCCTTAAGTTTAGAAGGAAAGTCACTTTCCTTAAATTTGAGGAAAATGAGTTGATTTGGAAAACATTTTACAAAACATTTAGTCCAACCAAACATGAGAAAATTGGAAAACATTCATACCAAACACACCCTAAATACGACTCTTTATCCCAATATTAATTGTGGGACAGTGGTGGAACTATTCCATTCTTAATCATAGATCTTGAGCTTGAGCTTTGGTACGAAGAAGATTCTGCTTCGAACTTCGAAGCTCACTGCGACTCTGAACACCGGATGGGAAATAAATAAAAAACTCCATTACTTCTTTCATCTCAAAATAGTTATTATATACTCCCTCCGTCTAACAATAGTTGTCCAATATACTATTTTGGATGTCCAACAATACTTGTTCACTTTATGAAATCAATGGATAATTTTACACTTAGTTCATAATTTACCCTTATCATTAATTATAGTTATTTTTCTATTACATTTTTCATGACATTGTATTTATTATATTCAATAGGGTAATATAATAAAACTACTCTTCTATTTATAGTTTCTTAAGAAGTGTGCACAATCAATAATGGACAACTATTATTGGACAGAGGAGTATATTTTTTATTTACACTTCTTAAGAAAGTATTAATAAACTTAATATTTTACCTATTTTAGCCCTTCAAAATATTTCACCATGTTATCTCTCCTCGCTAGTATTTATTTACTATTGAATATCTATGTGAGCACCAACATGGGTTGTGGTGCACTGGTTGAAGTGTTTCACCCTTAACCAGAGGTCTCAAGTTCGAGCCCTGGGTATTGAGAAAATCTTGTTGGGAGTGCCACCCCCGAATGGGTTCTGCAGAGCGTGATCCAAATTTAGTCGGAGCTCTAATGTGGGTTCCGGATACCGGATGAAAACCAAAAAAGAATATCTATGTGAGCTCCATCAATGATGTACTTCCTCTAAAATGTTGTAATTGACATAAAGGGTAACTGGAACAAATTAAAGTTAGAGCCGTCAATATGGGCTAGGCCCGTTGGGCCAGCCTAGCCTAACCCGTGATTTGATAGGGCTGGGCTAGGATCTTTGGAGCTCATTTAAGAAAAGGACTTTTTAGCCCGGCCTGAATAAACCTGTCGATTTGTGGGGCTTGAGAAATATGGATAGGGCCGGCCAATGGGCCAAATAAAAATTAATTAAAAATAAAAATAAAATAGAGTATTAAAAATAACAGGAGTCTACACTCAAAATCTGTTTAAAACTTGAAATATTACAATTTAAATACAAATTATGTTTATAAAATATGTACTACATAAAATAAAAAATTCCTAAAATTTCTAGGGAATCACTACATAGGTCATATCCTAGGGAATATTATCATAGATTTTGTGTTTTATTATGATCATTGAAAAATAATTAGGTTAATATTTATATTTAGTTATTTATGTTTTTACTTGAAATCAAACTTAATAAATATTATATAGATAATTTTATTTGTGTATTTGATTAACAAGTAGTAACTCTAACCCCATGTAATATTGTCTTGTCGATATTTATGATAATATTTTAAAATTAAAAATTTTAATTTAAAAAAATTATAAAAAAAATATACTTTTTAAGAAAAGAGGGCTGGCCCGACAAAGTCCATAGCCCACGCACTTGTGGGCTGAGCCGACCATTTTCTGGCCGACATAAAAAATGAGCTAGCCCGACCTAGCCAGTCAAATTGCAAAGCCTGTATAGATTAACCCGGATGAGATGGGCCAATTCATATTGACCGCTCTAATTAAAGTTATGAAAGTGTAATTGTACGAAATTACAAATAAATAGTAAGTTTTTTATATTATCTTAGCGAAATATTTGTGCTTCTAGAATACAACCACTTGCAGTAATAGTCATTTTGTAATCCATATTAATTGCAATGCGTATATTCAATTTCATGAAATTTGTATTATTGTTTAGTCCTTCAGGGGCGGCTCAAATCCGTTGGTGGCCTAAGGCAAAAATCAAATTAGAGGCTTTGAAAAAAAATTAAAAATATTTTTATTTAAATCTATTTTTCTAGCTTTTTGAGATGCAAAGTTGTTAATAATTTTTGTGTAGTCAATCTTGAATACAGCCAAACCATCTCAAATACAACCAAACCACTTCTAAAATTTATCAAGAGCACCTTTCTGAGATTTTATCAAGTTATCGACTCTTTTTTTTTTAAAAGTTTTGAATGACATGATTCATATTTTCTAGTTGACATATTAAAATCTAACAAATATTTTAAACACTATTTACAATATCAAATAAAAAATATAATAAACATAAGACACAAAATAAAAATAATATTAGAAATT